AAGATTGGGAATTTACAGATAGAACTATTGTAACCTCTACCAGTGTAAGCAAATACTATAACAACTAAAGTCCTTTCAATTAATGTCAAACATAATAGACTGTTACTGGCATCATTCCAAGACCCGTATCAAAAATCAACGATATAACTTTAAAGCATATATACAAGATGATAACAGACAATCTTGGAATAGAATTGACCAAGAAAACCAAGAGAATTGTTAACACATGTACCAAGGTCATATGTGATCAACTGGCAGCTCTTCCATCTGTTCAGGATCTTGGAACAAACCCTGGCTGGTCATTGCTTCCTCAAGAGGATAAAAACAGGCTGTGTATCAATCATTCCATCATACTCAGAGACAATGGAATCGATTTTACCAGATGCCACAGAAACTGGGCATCAATTGCAAGGGTTAGCCAGCTCTGGAGAGGGCGTAAGAAGCGAGAATACTCTGGTAAGTTCATATCTGGTAGGTACAATAAATTGTGTAATTAATGTGAGAATATGTAATAATCTGAAGGAATTTTAGCCAGTACGATTCATGAATAAAATATTATTTCTATTATAACAACCAATAAAAACATTTTTAAATAATGATCTTCTATGAAATAAATTTTTTTTGCCCAATTAAAACTGTGAATGAATCAGAATATATATATGAGAACCAATTGAGAGAATGCTTTTGTTTAAATGACCAATACTATCAATGTGCATACTGCAATAAAGTTTATATTATCCAATTAAAAGTAGCAGTATAACGAAATTATTTTATGAGTGACAATACAAAGATTCTTTTTTTCCATCTATACCAATAAGAAAGCTCTTTTTTATTTTCTTTCTACCAATAGAACGAGAAGAATAATACATAAATTTAAATATCGGGATATGAATAAAACCTAACATCCATCAGTCAACGGAGATCTAATTATATTTCCAAAAATAGGGATGGTCTTTTTGCTGGTTTTACCAAAACTGCCACCCAAAAGACCACCTAAAATACCACCTAAAAGACCACCAAAAAGACCACTTTTTTTCCCGTAGTGTTATTGGTATAGAAGGAAAAAAAGAATCTTTGTATTGTCACTCATAAAATACTTTCGTTATACTGCTACTTTTAATTGGATAATAGAGAGGATGTCTTCGAGCCTGAATTGCAAACGTTTGCAAATTTTTATTTTACGCGGCAAATTAAATTCCAATACTTGTTTTGCAAATTTCATGGTGGAGACCATTTAGTGAGCATTTGAAGCCAAAAGTTAGGTAATCCCTGATTTTTTACTTCAAATGCTCACTAAATTTCTAGTAAAAATTGGGCTTATTTTTCCCATTTCAAAACAAAATGTATGATAGCTAGTAGCCTCTTCTTCATACTTACTTAATAAAATAGGCCTTAAAAAGTCAAGTTTATTAAGGTCTATTTCCTCTAAATTTCTTAGTATCAATGTTTTCAACTTATAATATACATAACTGTGTCTGAACTTTATTCTTATTTTTGATTGGGTTTTACAAATAATTATTTTTTAGTTATCTTGAAATTATCATAACTTGACACTCTCTCTAATATAAACTTTATTGCAGTATGCACATTGATAGTATTGGTCATTTAAACAAAAGCATTCTCTCAATTGGTTCTCATATATATATTCTGATTCATTCACAGTTTTAATTGGGCAAAAAAAATTTATTTCATAGAAGATCATTATTTAAAAATGTTTTTATTGGTTGTTATAATAGAAATAATATTTTATTCATGAATCGTACTGGCTAAAATTCCTTCAGATTATTACATATTCTCACATTAATTACACAATTTATTGTACCTACCAGATATGAACTTACCAGAGTATTCTCGCTTCTTACGCCCTCTCCAGAGCTGGCTAACCCTTGCAATTGATGCCCAGTTTCTGTGGCATCTGGTAAAATCGATTCCATTGTCTCTGAGTATGATGGAATGATTGATACACAGCCTGTTTTTATCCTCTTGAGGAAGCAATGACCAGCCAGGGTTTGTTCCAAGATCCTGAACAGATGGAAGAGCTGCCAGTTGATCACATATGACCTTGGTACATGTGTTAACAATTCTCTTGGTTTTCTTGGTCAATTCTATTCCAAGATTGTCTGTTATCATCTTGTATATATGCTTTAAAGTTATATCGTTGATTTTTGATACGGGTCTTGGAATGATGCCAGTAACAGTCTATTATGTTTGACATTAATTGAAAGGACTTTAGTTGTTATAGTATTTGCTTACACTGGTAGAGGTTACAATAGTTCTATCTGTAAATTCCCAATCTTTAAATTCATTGTAAAAACTTGTCCTTTGAAGTTGCATCACATCTTGTCTTTTTTCTAATGCTTCTTGACGGCCTAGCAATGCTTCTTGACCACTCTTTAGGGAAATAAGTGCAGCTTGTATTCCTTGAAGCAACTGAATCACTGTATTGTCTGTATTGTTCATAATTGTAAGAAAAAATCAGTTATGTGTTTGTTATAGAAAAAGAAAGAAAGAGAAAAAATTTTATCAGAAACTATTATTTGTTTCAAATCTTTAGCTTCAAATTATTTGTACAAATCTATTGATTACTTCTGAAGAAACATTGATCTAGTAACTTCACTGATGACATACATATACTTCTTTAAGATTCCAAGCATATATTCATAATGTATATAACATCATTGTCTTTATATAATTAAGTATAAAGCTATATATTCAGAAAGTAATTAATTCTATTCTTACTTATATAACAAAGTTTTTTTTTTACTACCTCAAACATGTCCAAAATTACAAAAGCCCCTCGTTACCAATGCCATACTTGCAAGTCGACCTTTAATAACAGTTGAACATATAAAAGATGTCTCAAACGATGTATGACAAATAGGGCAGAATTACTTGCCAATGGCAAAGTTTCCCAAACTGTCTCTCTTCCTGATCAAAGCCAGTTTATATCAGCAATGATTCCTAACTTGGCTTTTGGGTAAGCTTATCAAAAGCAAAAACACAAAATAATAGACAGTATATTAATTAGCTGTATACTTTGATAAACAAACAGAGAAAACATCAACACAAGCAGTAATGAGGATATAGATATCATTGACAGTACTGAAGATGATAAGCCCATGGTGAGATACATAAATACATATATCATGATAATCATACTTATTATTGTTTATCTTACTATAGTACGATGTTGGAGAAGAATGTGAGAATGACATTGACGAAATTGAAGACACTACACCCTTGCTAGGCTTTGATTTTAGCCAGCCTCTTCCTGTTCTCAGCAACAATGAGAAAAAGAATCTCGCGTTCATGCAGTTGATCCAAGAGTTCGGAATTTCTTGTCAAGCCCACAAAAAGATTGTAGAACACTTCAACCAGATTTTTAATTGTTCTATCAATATTACATACCAAGCATGCAGCCCACACCTTGAAAACAAGCTTCTTGAGCACTTCTTGGGTATCAAAGCAGACGGATACAACATTTGCATCAGAGATTGTATGCAGTTCAATAACAAGAATGATATTGCATGCGTAAAATGTGGTGAAGCAAGATACAGAAATGGCCAAACTAGCAAAAGTGATACCAGGGTTCCTGTGAGATCAATTGTACAGCTTCCTTTGGCCAGACAGCTTGCTTTGTGTTTGGCTGATGACAAGACCAGGGCTGAAATGCTCTATCATCATAACCACCAATCTAGCCAAGACGGACAGAAAGCAGATATTTTCAATGGTCATGTATACCAATCTATGAAGCATCTGTTTTCTGGTGAAAACAATATTGCGATTTCGTTGTCCATAGATGGGTTCAACTCACACAATGTATCTGGATCAGTAACTATTATTCATGCAACTGTCTTGAACTTGAGTCCAACAATCCATTATGAGAAAAACAGAATGATCCAAATAGCAATGCTTCCTGGTCGTACTGGTCCCAGAGACATCTGGTTTTTTCTTGAACCAATGCTGAGAGATCCCTGTTTGCTCCAGACAGAAGGCATAGAAGTAAAGACACTAACAATGACAATCAGAGCAAAGATGCATGTCCTCATGGCCACTGGTGATATTCTGGCTCTGGCAAAGCTGGCATGCCATGTTGACCACACAAGTAAGAATGGCTGTCATATTTGTCACATAGTGGGCCAAACTCCTAAACATGACCAGTACTTCCGCATGTTGCTTGGAACCCAGACGTGCTCACTGGAGAGTTTCAGAAACTACAATCTGGCAAGCAGTGAAGACAGAAAGGGACTCAATGGTCAGTTACTGTTAGTCGTAATGGAAACATTCTCTGACCCGTTTTTTTTTGTGTTAGACGAGATACATGGTCTGTGCCACGGAATTGATAAACAAGTATGAAGACTTGTAAGCAAAAAGTATGGAATCAAGCATCCTCTATATCTTTCTCTTGCAACTCAAAGAGAGATTGGTGCTGCAATGGTAGCTGCAAAATCTACAATACCTACATCATTGCATGGTGTCTGGAGAGATGTGACAAAGAATGCCAGTTTTTTTAGAACTGTAGATTGGGCAGACTTTTTACTCTTTGTTGTCCCCACATTGGTTGCAGAGCATGTCCTAGACTCGGTTACCCAAAAGGCATTACTTGGCCTGGTTCAAACATGCAATTTACTCATGAGCTGGGAGTTATCAGCAGAGAATCAAACCTTGATGAGAAGGTATGTTTAATGTCATATTTTATTTCATTTTTCATAGTAATTTACTTTTACTTTTTTCTTAGTCATCACTGGAAAAATAGGGTAATTTCATCTGGATCAAATGTACCAAAAATGTAGATGATTGAGCCGATATCATCACAATTTTTGTGATATATCATTTTGAGCAATGGTACGATATCATCTATGGTGCTGATGCGTATCATCATAACAACGGGTACACGAAAACCCAATGTAGAACGATTGTCAGTCCGCAAACTATGGAAACTGAATAAATATTGTAGTTACGCTTTACTCCTATCGAGTCTACCTCTTTATGTGTTATATTTTGAGGTCTATAAAGAGCTAGCGTCCCATATTATTATTTTTACCGGGTTTTTTTATTGGCTGCAGAAATGCTTTAAAAACTATCAAAGAGATGATTGTAGGTTTTTTACAATATAAAGAAATGATGATAGTTGGTTTTTTATACGTGCTCAAAGTGATGAAACTAGGTTTTTTATACACACAAAAGCAATGAAACTAGGTTTTTTTACAATGGAAAAGAGAAACAAAGCATGGGTAGATTTTTATAAACAAGCCTCTTTGGTTTGTTTATTTATTTTACTTTTATTTATTTATTTTTTGGAAAAACATTGGGTTATACATTTTTTGTTCAATTTTGTTTTATTTGATAGGAAAATCTTTTCTAGATAAAAATCCTAATTTCGCGACAGTTTTGATACTATAGCTATTATAATCGCTAATACTTCTTGCTCGCTATATATAATTTAAAGCCTTCCGGGAGTAGACATGGAATACATACTTTAATAGCGGGAATGCTATTAAAAAATGATTAATAGAAAAGAAGAATTAATAAATGATTTAAATTGAAATTTCTTCATAAATACTTACAAGGCGGAGAAGACTTGACATAAAATTGATATAAACATGTTCTTCAGAATTATCAAGACAATACCAGTAGTCTTTGAATAGAGATACATTCTAAAAATGAATAATTATTAATATTGTGCGTAGTAAAGGCGTATTTATTAAATATATTGTAGTTAACTTACCAAATATTACTGATTATACGTCTTTGTGCATAATATTAGACATAACTAATAAATCATAATAAAAATAAATATATATCTATGAGGAAGACAAAAGAATAATTTGAATTTTTTTTAAGAAAAAAACTTACCATCATGTTCGATTAAGAGATGATGAGACTCAATGGAAATGAGTAGCAATGGCTAGACAAACAATATGATGAGTAACAAAGATCTGTAAGATAATGATATCTTACCTTGATATATCAGACAGAGTATAATCAAACAAAGAGACACATATTTGGTATCGAGCTATAAAAGAAAGAAAGAAAATTGTAAGTGAAATTGTAAAAACATAAGCAAAAGAGAAACAAAGAAAATATCAATAATAAATGTTGTTAAAAGAAAAAAAAAGAAAAAAAAAAAGACTTGTCTTAAAATCCAGTTTGACCCTGACAAAATGCGGGCTGTAAAAAGTAATACTCCAAAAGAAGATGACCACCGTCATCTTGAAATACTACTTTGTGCCTCATTGAGTTAGAAAAGAAGTTGTCTAAATGTGGATCAAGCGGTTGGGAGATGTGCTTAAATATCAAATGAAAGGTAGAGAGTTAATCTGCACCGCTTATCCTCTTTACTAGTATGTGAATTTTAAATATGATATAACAAGTGTAGTGAATTGTACAATATTAGTTGAAAATTATTAATATTTATTTTATTAACAGAAAATGACAAAGCGTATTCCTACTGCTCCCCGCCGACCCAACCTACGCATGAATGCTGTTCTTAATAGCACAATTGCAGGTGTTGTTGCTCCAATTGATACACCAACTCCAGAAGTAGCAGTTGACACAGCCCCTGAAGTTCAAGTCGCTGTGACCCCAATGGATCACGTCCTTACCTTGTTGGCAGCCAACAATGTGTCGATGCAATCCTTGCAAGAAAATGCAAAAGGAGTGACTGATGCAATAACTCATTTGAAGAATGGCCTGGATTTGTCCAACAAGACAAATGAATTTTTGAAGAACTCGGTCCTTCAGCTCATGACTGAAAATGCTGAAATAAAAAAGGCAATGACCAGCCAAAATTCCGTGATGCCTTCTGCTGTACCAGCGGATTCTTCTTCTTCCATGGATGATGATCTTGACCTTGGAGCGAAACATCATCCCTTGATTTCTGTAAGTAAATTGATAATAATAACATTACTGATTAATATATCTAATACTGTTTTTATAGCAACTTATCAATAGTTACATCAAGAAACCGAACTTTGTTAGCACAGACCCGCTCAAAGTTGCTGAGAATAATAATAGATCAGCATGGTCAATGACTGGCACGTATGGCGACAAGTACAACAAGACACTTGCACTGGCTCTCTTCAAGTACCTGAGACCTCAAAGATGTTGCACAAATGTGTCAAAGAGTGTCATTATGAATATAATAAAGAATCACTACCAAAATCAAGTGCGAGTCTTCCGGACCTCAGCAGAGAAGATTATGGTTAGAAATAAAGCTGGAAGAAGACGCAACAGAAAGAAGACCGTAAGTTTTAAAATAAAGTTAATTTACTATTGATTTAATGTTTTAATACAATACTCTTTGGTAGCTTCTTGACCGTCGTATTATCACGTACCAGACATACACAGAGGCTATTCATGAGGGCATGAATCGATATGATTGCGGAAATATTCTTTCTATTGACGTGATGTCTGATGGCGAGTCGGATGGAGATAACAAAGTGCGGGCATATCGTCCCAGCTGGAGAACTGATGAGGTAATGTTAAACATCTATTTATGTTTTAAAGAAAATAATAATACTTTATTAATACTATTTATTCTTTAAACCAGCTCCAGACGTTTATTAGTACTATTGATGAACTTACTGTTATCCGTTTGAAGAAAAATTCAGAAAGCTTGAAAAAGCGCATCCCTTATGAGAAAGAAGTGAGCATTCCCGAGAATTTGGCAGTCACTTTACCAGATTGGTGCTTTTCAAAATAAATCATTTTTTTCTTGCCAACTATTTTAGAGTCTTTTTTCTACTTGTTTATGTTTACGGATTAGCATGATGTATACAGATGCATGTATAGCATGCCAAGTACAAACAAAAATTTATAGAAATAATAAAAAATAAACGTGCAGCTATATATATTAGTCTGTATTAATTAATATTTCTTTTTTATACGTGTTTTATTTTTGTATTTGAATCTAAATATATATTTTTCGTGGCAAAGGAACTACACACATCTGAACTTCGCCTTCTAGACCAAGGTGCTCGCCTACTGCGACTGGATAGCAGATTCTATGCACTGGGAGAATGCTGTTCATGCTGTCATCTTCGAACCCCACCTCATTCACCTCAACTCCTTCTCCTGCTCTGGGCTGAAGTAAAACTTCCTTGTACCATCGTACATATGCAAATACATGCTGGCTCACATGACCAGCAAACGAGTTTACAGCAGTATTGACAAAGAGGTACTGAATTTGGCCCGCGTATGGCTTGGTACTTCTACCATCACTTGTCTCAAACAAGGCTTGCATGAACGACCCACGCTGATTCTTCGTTTTGCTCTTGTAGATTTGCCCAAGAAGATTGATTGATTCAAACTTCTGTATCCGATTGTTAACAAAATTATCGGAATGACCAGCCTGACGATAATGAACAAGAGTTTGATCATCGTATGTCTCGCGATAGTATTCCAACAAATGCTCATACTCGGATTCATCCATGGAAATCTCCCCCTTTAGAGCTAAAGGAAGTGCGGAAGGGGGCAAAGGCTCGTTTCCCTTGACGATATCAAAGTTGATCTCAGGAGAATCAAGAAAAGCATTGATATCGAATTGGATTGAGGTGGCAGTGGAAGTGGAAGTGGCTATGGAATTGGCAGTGGATGCAGTGAGCTCAAGGATGATCGCCGAATGCTCAGGTCGAATTATTGGCAAAGTTTGGCGAATAAGATCTCCCTGGTATGCTTCTTCAAGATACTTCTTCATATAGGTTCCCTCAAACCCGTCTTTTCTATTTGTCGCATAGTTTTTCAAGATACCATTGCATCTTTCGAAACTAAAAAGCCAATAGCCATAAACCGGGCCAAAGTTCAGTACAGTCTCTCGCAGATGAAGATGGAGATGCATGTTTGGCGAAAGGAATGGGGCTTTATACAACTTCTCGCACTCTCTGCAGAAAGCCTCCAAAGATTGATGGGCTTCATCAAGGTGAGCCATGGATATGCTTGGCATTGAGAGGTACTGGCATGCATTGACAAACGTTGTCCAGTTACCGAGATGAGCTTCAGGTAGACGACCACGCAGGAGAACAGGAGAGTACACCAAGCACCAAGACTTCCACTCGTCGGCCTTCATGAATGGGAAGCCACGCCCGATCTTTGTCCCTAATGGCGTGTAGTCCTCTGGCAGTACAAGCTTGTCAGCATCCAACTGCATTTCGGCCAAGTGTGCATCTGTGATGAGACCTGAAGATCTCCATTTCTCCATTATCCTCTTTGCTGTTCCGAGGTACAGGTTGTGCATCGGATCGATGACAGTGCACTCCACGAGGTTAAAGTAAACCAGGTCATGCAATTCTGACCATCGGACACCATTTTCCCTCTCCAATCTCTTTCTCTGTGCATCACTGCTGGCCATTCTCCACAACTCAGCATCACGGCGGTTTTCGGCATCAGTGCGAGGCACCCACTCAGAAAACACGAACCCAGAGTAGTCCACAGCATTGGAGTCTGGAAGGCGAGGGAACTGTCGGTTGCACTTATTGCATGCACATGTGCTTGAATGAGAGGTGAACCCACAAGTCTTACGGGCAGCAGGAATGTCGCAGGCAACAAGAAGAAGGGCAGCACGGACAAGAGCACCAGATGGGCACTGTACGGTAGGCATCACCACACCGCCATACAACTGGTTGAGTTCCGCGACAAGGGGACGGAGGTAGTGATTGATCTCACTTGTCTTTGCTTCCTTGGGCCCTGGCATGAGACCAACAAGAACAACATTCTCCTTCTTGTACCGTTCCGATCTTGGCAAGTTGTTGATGCAAAGGTATATCGCACCACAGGAGTAAGTGACCCCATCGAAAGGTTGAAACCAATCGATGTTCATGGTAAGCATTATGGAGCGCTCATGATTCACAAACGGTAAACCATTGCTATCCTTCAGACTGTTCCACTTCGTACCGTCGTAAATGTCAAACATCATGCCTGGAACTTGCACTCTGATTCTCCAATGGTTGATGGTGTCTTCGAATCCAGGGCGGCAAAAAAGGATAGACAATGTTTTGATTATGGAGTTATACATGTAGATCTTTTTGGGGATAGTCAAGGCTCTTGATGTTGCAAAGAAAAGAGCGTTTCCACATTCTCTACCAGAGAGTCTCTCGAAATTACAGCACTCTGGAACAACATCGGACTCTTCGTATACTTTGTTACAATCGCCACATGCAACAAACCGCTGGACACCTCGAGTCACGTCGCTGAGACCGGTCATAGAGTTGACACCGCTTATACTGAGGGGAAGACGGAAAGACTGTCCAAAGTGTGCCAATACTTCGTTAAGAAACTTTAACAGAACAGCACCACCAGAATTGACAACATATTTGGATATGAAGAAGGCAGCAAAAGAAGCAATGAAAGCATGAGTAGGATCGACTGGCATATTGGATGAAGAAAAGTGCTCTATTTGAAAAAAAAATCAATACTTGTTGACTTTATTGATTTATATGTGCTTTTTGTACTAACCTCTAACATCATCAGATTCATCGTCAGAAATATCCAAAATGGTTGCTTCAATGACACCCTCATCTTCGCTTTCAGAATCAAACAAGGAATCAATGCCAAAAAGAGGTAAGTCTTCGGCTGTTTTGTTAGGTAAAAAAGAATCAAATTATTAGATATTATAAATGATTATAAAACTTTAATAAAAATACTATGCATACCTTCAACTTGATCTTCGGCATCAACATTGTATTCAAAGTCAATCTCCATGTCATTGTCATTCGACATTACTTCTATAACTGAGGCTATATTATATGAAAATAAATATTTAATTAAAATTGTCTCAATAATAATTTTCTTAAATTTGAACTTACAAGAAGATCCTGACTGATATTGTCTCACGATATCCTGTTGTGCATGTCTTCTGAGTGTTTGGGTAGACACCAAAACAAATCCCATGCTATTGGGAGAGCATTTAGAGCACTTGCATTCTGAATTATTGTTGTTGTTTGACATATTGTGTGCGTGTGTTTTATTTTTTAAGTCTTTAGAATTGACAAGAATAGAAAATTGTTCAGGAACACAATTTAATATATATCTTTCCAAATTATACCAGCTTCCAAAATGACATAGTTTATTCCGGTTGTTAAAATGGGCAGTTCTCTAAACAGTAATTGATTGCCTCATTCTAAAATACAATAATACACGCTTTTGTTAAAACATGTCGTCATGTACATTTTATTGGCTGTAGAGCATATACAACAAAAATATTTGTAGTAATATCACGACCATTAACCTCATCATACTTATAAATAAATATTACAACAATAAAAAGCTTTATTATCTCACTCAAAAGATATCATTTGGTTTAAGTTTCCTACAACTATTGACTCTGCGACATGGCTACAAGTCCCAAAAAGAAATCTCGCAGACATTTTTTACAAAAAAGAGTAAACTCGTTTTTTTATCCAATAAAACAGACCGAGCATTATCATCGCCGTCGAAAATAAAAAAGACAAAAGTGATGGAAATTTAAGCTACCACTCCACAAATAATAGTACCCTACGCCATAGATGAAATTACCCTATTTTTCCAGTGCATCTTGTAGAATAGAACTTATTCCTAGATAGTCTTCTTTCTACAGCAGATATTGAAATTGGCGTGTTCACAATTAACCACTACATTATTCAGTATTATCCTCAGATAATTGATCTATATGGCTTGCCAAGAGCATATAGCACACGATCCGTGGAAAGAGCCATTGGTGAGTACTCCAGGTCTATCAAGAGTAACTCCCAAGTCAGTGTCAATGCTGGAAGCATCATGATCAGACTGGCGTAATCCCAGCATGTAGCAGAACTGACAACCGTTGCAAACACAAAAACTCTACCAGCTAACCTTCTAGTTTACAGTGAATATACCAATGGGTGGCCTGTTACAGAAGGAGGTAATCCTGCCAATGCTGAGTGTGAGATTGAGTTCTGGGGACCTTTGAAGAATTTAACAATTTTTGATAGCTTTGAAGATAGATCTCATCTTTCATTGCTTCTTAAAACGTTTTATGATTTGAAGGGGGAAGAATGCAGTATGCTTGAGCCTTCCATAAAGACAAGCCGCAAGGCCTATCTTAATGGTTGTGTTATTGATGCTGCATTCAACCAAAGTTCTACAAGAGAGGCATGTCATGTTCATGTGCAGCTACAAGTGGACATGAACTCCAGAAGATCCTACTCTTACCATCCAGGATATAAGCATTTCTTCGGAAAGGTGGTTATATTCTTTTAACATGTACACAACTCAAAAAGATGGCTACTAGCTTTCATAACCATATATAGTGTGCATTTGAAAAATGGATTGCCTATTACATCTGTAGTAAAGCCAAAGACTATAGTGATTCATGCCAGTGACATTGTAGAGTTGGTTGGCTTGGTGCCATCAAATGTCAATGGTAGTCATTACATCATTTGGTCTAGCCTTAAACGTGGCCCAAAATTGGCACTTGGTGCCTTAAGTGATATATAATTTGTTTTTTTTCTTTTTGTAATAAATTTTTCTTTTTTTTAAATTGTCTTAACAAATTTTATCCAAGCAGCAGAAAGTTTAGATATTTTCTTTTTTTTATTTCTGACATCCAATATTTCTCAATTGCAATCTATATTTACCAAAAATGTAAGATTTTTAATTAGAATGGACATTTGTCTCTTCTGAGATTTAATTTTAAGCAATTCATTTGCTTTTTATCAACCATTTCAAAGAACAAAGATTTTCTTGCTTCAACTTGGATTTTTGGTGATTTTTTGATTATTATAGACCAAAAATGAAGTCACAAATTCAAAAAAGACCACCTTTTTCCCATAGTGTATGATTGAGTTGTTACTTAGACCAGCAATCTTATGAGGACAACATTTTCAGGATGGGCACTATCTTTTTTTGTTGAACTAACTTTTTGCGACTACTTGTTTGAAGTCCAATGTCTTTTCTCCAATCCTTCTGAACAAAATGATGTGTTCTGAAATTTCTAATTCATTTAAATATAAAACATTCTTTTCTATTATATACTCATCTCATAAGAACTATTAATTAATTCTATTGAAGAAAATCTCAAAGATAGCAAAGAAACTACTTTACTCATTATAGATTAGCAATTAAAAATTATGGTGTTAATAAGTACTTTCTAGAAATTATATCAATATGAATTGTATCAATAAGAATACCCATTTTTTCTATTGAGAGGAGTATTTTTTTTGCCCAAAAACCTCTTCCTGTCTCATCAGTTGAAAGTTACAGTGGTATGACACTAGTAATTTCAAAGATGTAGTAGGTTGCACTTGTAACTAGATATAGCAAACCAACTCAAGTGTACTTGAAATAAGTCATAATGGAAGGAAATGACGTTTCCAAGGTGGGGTATAACGTTTCCAGGGTGAGGCAAGGCATTTCTTGTTATGATATTAGGGGGTTTCATTATAGATGCTCTTCACAACACCAACTCCTTTCCTTTTACGTCCACCAGACCCATCTTCAAAATGTACATAAAGATTCTTGATATATATAGTAATTATGTAACATAAAATTTCCAAAATAATAAAAAAATCTTGTACTTGCTAAAGGTGAAAATACACTTTCGACAGGAAGTAAAATGGGAAATAACATCTCATATACAGCCTAATAAACAGCCATAGTTACACTGTTACTTTTCATGAGAATAATAGCTATGTTAATGTGCTATTTTATTTCTTTACTTCTATTTCATTGCCTTTTAAATGAATCTGCTTGCTATTCTGAGTCATTTGTCAATTAGAAAAATCTAAAGGTAAGCATTATACACTGCTTGTAAAAAAACTTTGGCTTCTCCTTCTCCAAGAACAAAGTCAATAAGGTAGTTGTAGTTCATTATTGTTTTGTTTTAATAAAAATATTGCAAAATAAAAAACACAAGAAATAATAAAAAAAATGCACACATTATGATGGCATTTTAGAGATCAAGTACTTCAAAAATATCTTGAGTAACATATAGCTCTAAAATTGTTTTGGGAACGTTTTGAGAATGGGTCTGGTAGGATGTAAAAGGAAAGGGGTTGGTGTGGTATTTCAGGTACAAAACAATAGAAAAATAAAATATTTGATAATAGAGACGTATAGAAATACTTTGAGACTGTATATAAGTTGTCTTTATTCATATATAAAAAGTGTCCCTTTTTATAAGAAAACACAATCTGCTCTTGTCATTACGTCTTAGTTTCTTAAGGCTTTCTTCCTTTACTATATTTGGTTATTAGAGTGTATTTACTGCTTAACTAGTGTTGGTGTTACAATTATGACATCAAGTCATAAATCGTACTTCTTTAGCTCTTAGCTATTCTTTTCTCTTTTATACTAGAGCTTTAGGACTTCCTACTAAATTAGCTCCATATCGATCTGACACAGTTTACCCGGCAGTATGATATAATTATCTTAACAATCTTTAAGATATTATCTACAGTACTAACTGTAATAATTATTGGGCTGATTACTTAATTGTTTATATATATTTTATACTGACAAGATGATAGCTACTACGCTATCCCAATATGAATATGTTCTTATATGTGATAAATCCAACATCTGAGTGTCTGGATCACCACAGCTTAAATCAAAGGAAGAAAAACTTGCTTTCCTTGAAGACCTAGATGCGGATGGGTTCAAAGAAGAAATCAGAATGTTCAAAAGCTCGTTTAATAAGCTGTATGAGATAATCAAAGACCATTCTTTATATAAGTCACCAAAAGGACATAAGCAGACTGATGTAAAGCTTCAATTAGCTTTGGTCTTGGAGAGATTAGGCTCAGACGGGAATGCTGTATCCTATAGCAGGCTTGCACAAAGATCTGGTGTTGGAGGTAAGCATCTTTTAGTAAACTGACTTCCATTAATCTATATAAACGTATAATTAATCCATTGAACTAATTATTTTAAACTTATTAGAGGGCAGTGTCTTAAACTTCACAGTTCGTTTCTTCAAGGTAATGTTATCAATGGAAAACATGTACGTTTTTTGGCCATCAGAACTTGAGAAGACAGCAACGATAATCCCAAGCAATGAGAAACCATTCGGATTTCCTGATCTTCTTGGGTTTTTGGATGGGTGTCTGTTTAACTTGCAGCATACACAGTTGTGGAAAAAGCCAGAATTCTTTGGTCATAAGCGCACAGACTGTGTAAACACTCTTGGGGTATGCGACCATCAAAAGAAGATTCATTATCTCTCTTGCAGATACTTTGGAAGCATGAACAATGCCAGGGTGTTTGAAGAATCGACCATGGGCAGCGACCCCAAAAACTTCTACTCTGGTGACCAGTATGTTTTAGCCGATGCTAGTTACATTCCCAAGACGTACGTTGTCCCTATCATAAAGAAGCCAAAAAACAAGGAATTGTGTGATGTGGACAAAGTGTTCAATTCATACATAGCAATGATGAGGATAAAAATTGAGCATGCATTTGGGATCCTCAAAGCAAGATTCTGCTCTTTGAAGCAACTTCCAATTAAGATTAGAAGTCAAAAAGACATGAACATGGTCAATTCTTGGATCAGAGTTTGTGTCATTCTTCATAACTTTTTGATCAACCAGACAGATGACATGATGACAATGACAATGAAGATTTCATGGGAGAAAAAAGAAAAAGAAGAGATCGAAAGGATCAGCAGAGAAGGTGTGACTGGCACTGTAGATGACTATCCAGCAATGTCATTGTCAGATGAGAATGCTAAGCTCAAACGTATCCATATCAAAGAAGAGATACTCATAAAAAACGGAGATGGGAATCTTCTTAAAAAAATAAAAAATAAAGAAATAAATTATCTCAAAAGTAGAAATGATATATAACAGGTATTCTATGATAGTTGCTGTCATTATTAAATTGATAGTCTTTAACTACCATACGTTTTATTGTAAACGTTGTCAGTTTGCTTTTTGCACTTTTTCATCTGACCAGTTTTGCACTTTGGCCTATTCTGCAACTGCTTTCATCATGTTTTTGAATTTTCTGTGTATAAATTCGCGTTCTCGCTTAATGTGAAGATCGTTCTTAAGAATTTCTAGCTTTTCCCTATAAAGCTATTCTATTTTTGCCTCTAGGGACACAGAAGACTCATTAAGTTGTCTCATCACCTCTTCTGCCAACTCTTTATATTCGACGTCTACTCTTCTGCGTTTTCTAGAAGAGCTTGACTTAGGAGGAGGGGAGCAGAGTACAGATATGTTATCATTTTGGCTGTCATATTCCTAATTGTTGCTGCTATGACTGTTTTCAGCTGATTCTTTGTCCGTGTTGTCATCATCGCCATTGCTTTGCTTGCTGTTCTCGTCATGTATCCATTCCATTGGCTTTGTGGTATCACAAACCGCTGGAGAACCAGTATTTCTATTGCCCATAACCTTTTCCATCTGAAAGAAAGCAAGGCAGATTTGATTCAATTCAGCTATTGTTATACAAATTACATTAAAACAAAGAGATCTAGAATTGATATTATATAGATAGTACCAACTTACACTCTAAGCCTTCTTTTTCACTGGTAGAGCCTTCATTATTAGAATTATTTTTAATACTATTCTTCCAAACACGATAGGCTTCTCCATATTGTTTTGTCAAAAGATTGTTGAGCCTCGACTTTATTTGGGCTGTAGTTTGATAAACCCCTTGCTTCTGAAAATACTGGTTGCATTTATTCAGTATTGTAACCTTTGATGACTTGAACATTCGTCCTTCCTTGTCACCACCAAGATACATATTGAGGTTTTCTCCGCCATTCATCAACATGAATTGCTGAAGTCTCTTCATAGAAATCAGACCATCTTTACCATCATCATGTTTGTACCATGTCTTATATTCGTTTTTGATAGCATGATTATCTTCAGTGAATAAAGATATTTTGCTGTTAGAGTTAGACATGATTTTTTTTCGTAATAAGGTGTGAAGCAAAATAAAGGTGCAGGTGTGAAAAAAGATGTCAATTGTATGTTTCCTAGATTATATAGCAATTTTTTTACATAATCTTTTATTAAATGACGTATAATCTTGATATATGAATTTCATTAAAATTTTGGTCAAAATTTGATTGAAATTTGATTGAAATTTGATCTTTTGCCTTTTGGTGCCCTCAACTACAAATTGACATTATTGGCTAAGATTCACACAAGAATTTGAGCGATCAACCTGGCTGAGTACCCCCAAAGAAAAAGATAGAGAGAGAAATATTTTCTTTTTTGTATTGTTAGAAATCTGTATATTATTATCTACATGAATTTATACATTTCCATAACTTTTGTTGAGATATTTTTATTTTTTACTGGGTTTGTCTAATCTTTGTTTTTTAGCAGTCACACTTTTTCCATTAGATAACACCTTCTCTACTATCTTAATTACACTTTAAGTCAGCCTTTAATTCTTTTTTATGATTTAGTCTTTGCTCAATAAAGCTTCATATACAAAACAACTTAATTATATATAATGAAATATCAGGTACAAGCATCAGATGATTAATTAAAAAGGAGGACTCAATAATTTTTATTTTATAATCATTTTCATTGGCTACAGATTTAACATCCGCTTTCTGAATCCTAATCCGAATCCAAATCCTAAGAGATAAGATACTCTTCACAACCCCAACTGTGGTGATCCAGACACTCAGATGTTGGATTTATCACATATAAGAACATATTCATATTGGGATAGCGTAGTAGCTATCATCTTGTCAGTATAAAATATATATAAACAATTAAGTAATCAGCCCAATAATTATTACAGTTAGTACTGTAGATAATATCTTAAAGATTGTTAAGATAATTATATCATACTGCCGGGTAAACTGTGTCAGATCGATATGGAGCTAATTTAGTAGGAAGTCCTAAAGCTCTAGTATAAAAGAGAAAAGAATAGCTAAGAGCTAAAGAAGTATAATTTATGACTTGATGTCATAATTGTAACACCAACACTAGTTAAGCAGTAAATACACTCTAATAACCAAATATAGTAAAGGAAGAAAGCCTTAAGAAACTAAGACGTAATGACAAGAGCAGATTGTGTTTTCTTATAAAAAGGGACACTTTTTATATATGAATAAAGACAACTTATATACAGTCTCAAAGTATTTCTATACGTCTCTATTATCAAATATTTTATTTTTCTATTGTTTTGTACCTGAAATACCACATAAGCTTTGGCAATGTATTGCCACCCTTGTGTAAGTATCTGTTGGCTTGAAGGTTCTGCTCAAGACCCTCCACAACAGCTATCTTCTCCAACTCTGCATCAACTTTCTCTTCAAGGACTTCTGAAATATTTTTCAACAGCTCATCTGCGCTTGTTGATAAAGATTATACCAGACTTTTTTTTTTTGCTACAAATTTTCTGATTTTACACGATTTCTTTAAGGCAGCAACTGTTTGTTACTTTGCACTGTATTTTGGCATGTTATACGGAGTGAAAGAAGCGTTACATGACTTTGTTGACAGTAAATTCTATGATTTATTAAGGAGAAAGATAAAAACAGTATTGTATTACATATAAAAAAGTAAGGATTCAGCCAATCAGAGAGCCATATGTTTTTTGATCAAATTTCGATCAAATTTTGATCGAAATTTGATCTTTCAAAAAGACAATATAATTTTGATCATTGCTATTACAATTTTAGTCCAATAATATTGCGTTCTGAATTTAAAATTTGAGCGATTAACCTGGCTGAGTATCCCCTTTATTTAATTTTACTAATAAAAAACACTTCTTTAAAAATGAATATTAACAATACTGCAGCTATTTGCTATCTTTTTCATCACAGAAAGAGAAAACCCATTACTAAAAGAAAAAAGAGAACTGTTTATAAACGTCTTAATCTCGAGACATGGTCAGATGCAAAATACAAGATTGAGCTTCGTTTTACTCTTCCAGAGGTAGCTTACCTTTTAGAAGCTATGTTTTGCTATAAGCCAAGCCTCAAGAAACTGCTATTTTTTATTTACATATTTATATATTTAAATTACAGTACTGAAAAGAAATGTTTCACCCATTTTAACATCTGCCATGAATAGTAAAGAAGATATCACAACTTCAAATCCCTTTCTAAAGATGTCCAATACGTATTGAAATATAATACTTGGAACAATAAAAGTGAAAGACATATATATTAATAATGTAAAAAAAAGATACAGTTTTAATAGTGGATTTGCTTAAATTTTTTTTTCTTAAGTAAGGTCAATCGATTTGGCATATTCAAGCAGCATCTTCTACAAGTTTTTGCTGATATTTTGTTCCACTCTTCCAACAAAGCAGCCTTTAGCTCATTCAGAGAATTTGGTCTGGGGCGTCTTGCTCTGATTCTGTGATCAATGATTCCCCATATATTCTCAATGGGGCTAAGGTCAGGGCTGTTGGGTGGCCATTGCAAAACATCAATACTATATTCTTTCTTGAACTTTTCTGCAACTTTTGATTTATGCATCTTGGTGTTATGTATGAGGTAAAAATAAGATATAAAATAAAGCAAGTGCAGACGAGAGTATGGTGAGACTTTGTTTTATTAGAAGAAGTGAAAGAATCAGAAAAGAGATGTTGTTCTATTGCTATTAGTATTGTGCATTTATATAGACATTGTATTTAGCTTGGTAATGATATGATGATATCATGTAATGTCTGTTTCTCTACCATTATCTTCTATGATTTAGTTCTTATGTTTTTAGTGTTATTGACTAGAGTCTTAGTATTTGTCTTAGTATGTTCTTTACATAATTTCCTTGTATAAGAGAAGGTATATCTTTTAGTATTGTTACTAGTTGTTGGTAACTCAGTGTACGTATTTATTGAGTGTCTGTACTTTTAATTTAAATCTACAATTATGTTGGATACAACACTTGGCATTATCTTCCTGGAACTTGTAGCTACCACTGCTAGGTACAGGAAGAGCATGCAAGAATGGAAGAAAATGGTCTTGAAGAACTTCTACATATCTTGGACCATCCATGTTTTCATCTACAAAAACAAGTGGACTAAGTCCTCCTGACCAGATACACCCCCAGACCATAACCAATCCACCATTTCCTTGCACCTTTGGAACAAAGTGATCTGTATCAAACCTCTCACCAGTTTTGCGCCAGAGTTTTCTGCTTGAATTTTTCTTATACAGCACAAATGATGACTTGTCACTCCAGATAACTGTTTCCCACTGTTTATTTCAGTCTTTCACGGTTTTGTACTAAGCTTGGCGTTTGGCAATGTATGCCTTGATAAGAAAAGGCTTTGACATAGGTTTACGGCAAAAATAGTCCATGCTGTGCAAAGCTTTACGCATAGTAACCTTGCTGACATTCTTTCCTGTGTCAGCACTAGCATCATCAACAAGATCATCCAACATTGACCACCTGTCTTTTATGAGATTCGAGACAATACGTCTTTTGTCTCTAGGTGTGAGAATCTGTGGTCTTCCAGAAGACTTTCTGTTATCGGCAGTTCCTCTTTCCTTGTATCTCTTTAAAAAATATCGAACTGTTGATTTGGGTACATTCAGCTTGGCTGAAATGCTGGCAACATTATTTCCATCAAATTGAAGACCAAGGATCTTTCCTTTCGTCAAATCTGAAAGCACATTATAGGGTCCACAAGAGTTATTCTTTTGTGTATTTGGAATTATGGTAGATTTGTTAATTAGTTTTTTAATATGTTGAAAAATATAAAATATAGGTTATAAAGCAAAGGTGCAAATAGCGCTCCAGGGTGCGAAACATTTCTTTCTCAGACTGTAGATAAAGCAAATATGTGCTTTAATGGAACTCACTCCTGTGCTAGGCTTTAAGTGTACTTGAATCTACAGTATCTGCATGACACACAAGTTTGCATTTGCTCTTTTATTGTATCAGTATGTCTTTCTACGTCACTTATTTTCCATGGAAACAGTTTGGGGAATGTCAAAAGGCAACATTGCTTGTATCACCAATGGCTTCTAAGTGATACTTTTGGATAAGTTTAAGTATAGACTTGAGTTTGACACTCGACAGTTTTCTGCAGAGAATTGCAAAAAATTTGCTGAAGCAATTTATGAGAAATGTAGATATACACACTTCAATACTCTTATATGATATTTTCTGTTATTATTTTTTTTAAATATGTAATATAAACCTAATCAATAAATATATATATTTTCTTAGCTCAAGTCTACAAGCATATAGTCGGTTTTATGGATGGAACAATGCAAAAAAATTGCTATCCACAAGAGAAAGCAGACCAAAAGATTATATATAGTGAATGGAAAGTGAGTTACTTTTTTGACATTTAATTAAAGTATGCATCTGTGTAGTAAAATATTTGTATGTTTTTATATTTGTCTTATGATTTGAATAGCACATTCATTATCTTAAGTATTATGCAATTGTGACACCTGATGATATCACCAGTAGCCTTCTCGGTCCTTTCACTGAGTCCAGAACATTGGATTGTCTCATCTTGCATCTGAGTACTTTAACTTCAGAAAGAAATAGTGGTTTACACTATGTAATTTATGGTGACCAAGCATATCAAAAATCATTATATGTTTATAGATCATTTACAGTATATGAGATAAAAGAGCATTGTGAGTTATTTGATATAATGCTTTTATACTTTTTACTTATAACTTCCTACTAATATATTATATATAGCTTCTTTGAAAGAAGTTAACAGGAAGATGTCACAAACAAGGGTACAGGTCAAGATGGAGTTTGGGAAGATATCACAGTACTTTAAATACTGCAAATATCATTACTCTTTCTCAATTGAAAGAGGTACAAAGCCAGTAATTATATACATTTTATTAACTCTTTTCAAGCATATGCATACGTGTATAAATGGTTCAGCAACTATAGCAATTTTTGGGCTGCCACCACCAAAAATTGAGGAGTACATTGCCAGACTCATGTGTGAACAACAATCAAGAGACACAATCAATAATGTGAATACTATTTTGGACAATTTGTCTAACTTAGTTTAGTCTTAGAGCTATATAAATAAAAAATGATAGTTATAAACCTAACAAATCTTATATATTAAATTTTATTACAGTATTTTTGACATCTTATCATCAACAGAAACTTTTTCTACAAGCTGTTGTGGAAGAAGCAGGCATTTGTCAAAAAAAAGCCTCTTGCTTTTTCATGTGTCAGGCTTGTTTTTCAAGATGGCAATCTTGCTTCTCCAGAAGATATAAGATCTTTCTGTTGATGATGGCATCAGAGTAAACATCGTCACTGTTTTCAAACAGCACATCACTGCTGTCATCATCTCTCTTAACTCTCTTATCTTCTCTCTCATCTTCCTCATTTCCAGTCAAGGTTTCAGCAACAGCCTGTTGCCCAGAAGAAGAATCATCTGTGTTGAGCATCTCTGGTTCTGAGTGACTATATAATGCTATGTGCATCATTTCATTTCCTCTATCGTTGGCCAATATTGTCTTTGCAAGATCCAATGCTTCCTTCAAAATTTTTCCTTCTTTAAATTTATCTTCCTTTAAATATAAGTATTAAGTTAATAATTATTTTATTGCTTTCTATTTTATATATATGAAGTACTTACTTCTTGCATTGTCTCGTATGTAGCCCTTTCAAGTATCAGCAATCTTAGGGGACGGGGGGTTTTTGGCTATGGGGACGGGGGGTAATGGCACCGCACAATTTAAAGTGACTGCGAGTCCGAGGCCCAGCTATAAAGTGTCTTGAAGAACCCCCTGTCCCCATTCTTTATAAGCACACCCTTGTCCCCATCACTTATAAGCACACCTTGCTCCATCGTTATAAGCACACTCCTGTCCCCATCTTTAGATCATTTCAATTTCCCGGGAAAAATAAAAACACCCCCTTTCTTAAAGTCATTAACATTTAGTTGTAAGAATAAAAAATAATATTTCCAAATAACAAGATATGATGCCTTTTTTACGTTATGTACATTGCATACATTGCATACATTGCGTACATTGCGTACATGAATCAATAAAAATACTTATATAACTACAGTGCTCTTTTATTAAATATGAACACCAACTTCAATACCCCTATTGAGAAGATGTACTCGCTTAAAACAACTCTCTCATTCCCTGAGAATGGTTATCCTGACAAGCAGAGTGTTCTTCAAGCCGTAAACGATTATGCCCTTTCTAATAATTTCACTGTTAAGATTAAGGACGGAAAATTCCCTATTCTTCACATTGCTTGTTCAAAGGCTGGTGTTTATCGTGACAAGCGCAATATAAGTGATGAGAAAAGAAAGAAGATGCCCAACTCTTCTCTTACTGGATGCCCCTATCTCTTAAGATTTTCTTATAAGAAGAAGAGCGAAAGATATCTTCCTTTGCCCACCTATGGGGAAAACGAATATTGCCACAACCACCCTGTCACCACTGAGAATTTGGCTTCTTCTCACCAAGGAAGAATGTCTCTTTTGACTGCTGAAGATGCCACTATTGCAAAGACAATGTTGGAGAATCACGCCAAGTCCCGTGATGTTCAGAAGGCAACAAGTGACAAGGTGACAGGAATGAGAAAGCTGAGGATCAGCGATATCAACAATCTCAAGTACAGTGCTACTCGTGGTGATGAGGAGTCTGCCCATGGCGCTACTGAGCTCATCAGAACAATGGAAGCAAAGGGATTTTCCGTTCTCTACGAGTTTAATGAGAGAAATAGACTCACTCATATATTTTTTACGAACGATATAATGATCAAGAGAGCTCGACGTTTCCCCGATGTCTTTATTGTGGATGCTACATACAAGACAAACTGCGCGAAGATGCCATTGGTTTGCGTAGAGAGTGTCAGTAACCTAGGTGGAGAAAGGTTGAAGAGCTTTCCTGTGGCCTTTGCATGGGTAGCCAATGAGACAGAGAAGAGCTATGTTTGGTTTGTGAAGTCTCTGAAAGCAATTGTTTTGGAGGGGGTTGATAAAGCCCCTATATTTGTTACAGACAAATGTAAAGCATTGATGAATGCGCTTGATTCCGAGTTCCCCTTGGCCAAGAAGCTTCTGTGTGGTTGGCATATGATCAACAACATTGCCAAAATGGCAAAAAAAAACAATGAAGCCAGGAAAAGAAAAGGAGTTGTGCACACATTTAGTCAACAAAATGATCTTCGGAGATAAATGCGATGTCTTTGATGAAAATCTTGAGCTTTTCAAATTGCTGTCATCTCGGAAAGATTTCCAAAGTAAAGAGCAGCTGGAAGACAATAATGATGATTCTACGAAGGTTGTAGAAAAAAGAACTCTGGAAAAGTACTTTGAAGATGAGTAGATGCCGTGCAAGGAAAAGTGGGCTGGCTACCTCACTAGTCAATTAAAACATTTTGACTGTGTGACAACACAACGTGTTGAGAGTGGCCATAATGCTCTGAAAAGAAAAATCTCGGCTCTTCAGTCATTGAACTCTTCATTTGAGCAAATTTGCTCCTATCTTCTCCAGTTCGAGGGCGACTATCAGGACCTTGAGTTGAATGAGGCAACTATCACAGATGCCAGAATATACCATGAACCTCGCCTCCGTGGATTGATTCACCACGTCTCCAGAATTGGTTTGATCACCATCCGTGCTGAGCTTCTAGAAGAGGTTGTACCTGGTGAGCTTTGCAATTGCAGAGTAAAAGTGGTGTTTGGTCTTCCTTGTCGCCATGATCTGCCAAGAGATCGTATGTTGCTATTATCAGACATTCTTGAAAGATGGATTCTGTCTTCTTCTTTGGGTGAACGTTTGAAGCAACTGGAATGTGACGTTTCTCTACAGAAAATCGACGTTGAAAAGCCTGCCCCATGGGTGAAATGTATAACAAAGCTTGAACAATTGTTTCGTCAGTGTGAAGGGAATCAACAAGTCCAGAATCTTATGGCAATGGTTGATGAACTTGTTGACAATGCTGGTGAAATAATTGACCATCCAAATGTTGTATTTCCTTCGGCAAGTGAGGTCAAAGCTCCTGGAAGACCTAAGCATGTCAAAAGGAAAACTGCTCTCCCAAAGGACTTTGTCTGTCACAAGCACAGACATCTCCTTGTGCAAAAGAACAAAGTAAGCATATAACATACACAAACATGATTTCACAATCTAATACATATTTATTCTTTATTTCTTTAGAATGATATCAGAAGTATTTTGAAAGAAGGACTTAAAGAAGTGATGAAGGAGTTCTTAGAGGAAGAGCCTCTCAAAAAAGTAATTTATAATTGTTTTTTTTGTGAAATTACAATGTAATATCTAATGCTTACTATTTCTAGTCATAAAAGAAATAAAAAAAGAAACTCACTTCGCTGAAAAAACAAGAGCCTCTCGAAGAAAGTAATTTTTGATAACTTATAAATGAATCACAAAATATTTTGTATGGTTTGCTCACACATTGCATGTTTTCTCTATAGCTAAAACAACCAATTTCGCTAAAAAGCAAGAGCCTCTCGAAGAAGGTAACCGATAAGATATTTTACTAAAATTAAATGCTAAATGTTACATTGTTTTTTGTTTCTTCTTAGCTGAAAAATATTCCTCTGGAATTAAAAGACCTAAACATCTCCAAGACGACTACTGGTACGATTTGCCTAGTCCAAAAAAACAAAACAAAAATGTGCATGACTTTGCTCTGCCTGCTCAAATCGACCAAGCCGCCATTTCGTTGACGTTTAACCCCAAGTACGATGGTTGGTGCGGTTTCCGTGTATTTGCACACCTGAAAGAGGGTGGAGAGGATCAGTTTCCTTTGGTGAAGAAGAAGATGTTGGCCACGATGGCAACCCACAGTAAACGTTACGAGCACAACTTTGGCATGGATGTTGCTGAAGTGACAGAGGTCATTGCCTTTGGCTCCAAGATTGACCCTGCTCTTGGGGAAAATATCCCATCTTGCCCTTCCTCTATGTGGTTCTCTGCACCAGACTGTGCTCAGATAATAGCTGACACCTATAACAAGCCTGTTTGTGTGTACTCGGACGATCGGAGCGTCTTGCCTGTAACTTTCCTTCCCCTCCATGATTGGAAGCCTCTCAAAAGAAAGCCATTGCCAATGGTCTTGCACCATGTACATGGGTGCCACTGGACAACAATTAAAGTGAAGCCTCATTTACATCGGTCCTGGCCTGAGGTAAATGCACTGTATTTTGATGCTATCCGTAGAGGTAGTATCATTGACTGCTTTCCACAAGTTGGAATCATTGGGGTCAGTTCCCAAAGAACAAGTCTTATCTTTTACCCTCCACTACTACAACTACTACAATTACTACTACTGCCACTAACTCTCCTACAAATTCTCCCGTAAATTCTTCCGATATTATTGACCTCACACATATATAACTTATCTATCTTTCTATCTTTTAATATACTTTACTCCTATTTTTTCTTTAATTTTTTAACAAACACAATTGCACCCAGTCTGTCTTTAATTTTAATGTTACATGTAAAACTCAGATACGAATATTATTGACATCCAACTAATTGGAAGACTATATAATTGGCTTTTATTTTTTGGAGTACAAAGTCTGTGCATTTATAAGCAATCTGATTAAGATATTCATCCAATCACAGATGTGAATTTTACCATAAAAGATGTAAAACAGAAACGACGCATAGCTTTTGATAGATTTCTGTCTTAATTCGAACGCTAAAGCTTGGATATTTTGCCGTATTGCTGAAAAAATACGTACATCTCTATATCCAAAATTTGAAGTTAATTTATTATGTTTTGGTTGAATAAACAAGCAAAATATACACTTTTTTTCACGTTTTTAACTATTCAAAATAGATTGTTTTTGCTAATAAATATTTTTTCTACATAATAATATGGTCTAAAACTTTTACTGAAACGTTTTTTTACTATTTTCTATTGATATAAAGCACTTGCAAGTGATTTTTACTAACATTTTCAAATTGTTGTTTTTTTGTTCAATCTTTCACAAATGAAATGTACAGAACTTTTGTAATTCACTCATTAAACGTAATTCAAAAAATATTACAAAACAAACAAATACTCACTTTATGCAGAAAAAATCAACGAAACCAACCATCTTACTCTCATATTTCTATCTATTTTTTTGAACGAGTTATGAATTTTTTAAAAATAAATAAAAATGAAAATGAAAAGTTACGGACAAATGTTCTTCCACTTTTGCATGATTTTTCTTAGTGAATAAAGACAAGTGATTATACTGGATGGGGACATGGGGGTGACTGGTTTTTGGGGGACAGGGTGTTACACACAGAAACGATGGATGTCTGCCGGACAAGTTAAAAGTAGTCACGCCTCTAATTATCTGCCGGACTACTCACTATAAGCTTGTGTAACACCCTGTCCCCATCATCCAAAAACCCCCTGTCCCCTAATATTTACGTTCAAGTATGGTTTGCAACATAGAATCTAATTTTGTTTGTCTTTTGTTATGAGATAAACTTATAACTTCCTAGTAGTCTCTCAAAATTTTGTCTTTTAATTTCTTTAGGCTTTTATCACTCATGGCATTGACAGCACTTATGATTTTGTTCCATGTCTGTGTTCTATTTCTATATAGCTGAGAGTAGGGGTGGAACTCATGATAAGCCTGCATCAATGCAAGCTTTCTTTCATTATCCCATTTTTCTTGAGGTGAAGCTTTCATTAGCACATAATTAGTAAGTAGTTACAGTAAGTTTTATAAAAGCCTCTCAAATTTGATAATGTTATTCTTTACAAAATTATATATTATGAAAATGCTATTATTTTTCTTTTTGATAGCACTGGAATTAATAGAAGATGTATTATGATTCATAGCTAGATAAGTATAGAGTTTATGTTAAATGTTTTCAAGAGAGATATAGCTAAGAGTATAAGAAGAGTTGATATGTGACAAAGTAAGATTAAGAAAGATTAAAATATATATTTATTAATGGTTTTATGTCTTTTATATTAGCAAGCTATATACCATGTATTATTATCAATGAAGTTGTAAGAATAATATAAGAATATATATAAAAGACTCAATTAAATTCTGACAAAAAAGTACTTATTGAGAGAACTAAAACCAATAAATCATATCAAATATACATCTCTTTTTTTAAATAAACTTGTTCTTTAAAGATTAAATAAATTAATTACATATATAATAGACGCCCTTGGCTACCCTATCCTTTGATTTGAGAGTGAAAAAATAGACTTAATTTTGAGGAAATAATTAATGGAAAATGTTAGTAAAAAATTAGGAAATTCATAATTTTCCACATACATTTTTCACTAAATCGTGTCAACCAAGAAAAATGTATAACAATCATTGGAAATCAAATCGCTATCTCAATTGAAAATGGATAAAATATTCAATTTTTTACTAGTTAACATCTTCTCGAGTAGACATAAAAGAAGTACAAAAAATTAATTTTGTATTAATGAATTTGTTTACTGATAAAGTTAAAATTTTATTTTAACATTTATATACATAATTAAATAAAATATATCTAGCTTATATATGTCTCTCAATATTTATACTAATCTTTTTAATTCAAAGAATGTACATATAATATATAATGTTTCTAGATATTTTGTAAAGAGCATATGTTTTATATATATATAAATGCTTTTGTCCAAATACAAAAAAATATTACTTTTCTTTTCCAAACATACTTTCCCAAAGCAAAATGAGCTCTCAACCTAGTAAGTATACTTTAATCAGTATAATATAGATGTGTATTTGAAATACCTACTGATAAAAATTCTGTAGCTCCCACTCAAAATAACATCAAACAATAGAGTAAGGATGGTGTAAATAGTGGATCAAGCTCAGAAAGAATCGTTGTGAATTGGTTGACTGGGCAAGTCAATTATGACCAATGGAAGAGAAAACCTGCTAATGCTATTATCAAGGCAACTCTTTGCTCAGAAATACAAAGCATACTCATATCAAATGGTATCACTCATGAATCAATTCACAATATACAAGGACAAATAGCGCACCTTCACAAAAATTACAAACAAGTGATTGATTGACTGAACTAAACTAGACAAGACCTAAGAGATATGCTGGAACAAGATGGTGTGTCTCAACCTGAGATTAGTATCATTATTGCATGTATATATATATATATATAGCATGTATCTAAAATACAATGTTAATAATAATATGTATTCTATTTTTTGATATTTCTTTTAGAGAAAAGGAAGAGCCATGTTTGTCTACTTTAATGAACTTGATCCAGTAATGAATCATTGAATATCAACCAAACCTCCATGCCCACAGTCTTTCTTGAATGACACAGACGTTGAACATGTCCTGAATGTACGCTCTGGTCATGCATCCATGACAGTGCTTAATTTGATGCATCAAGAGCATGAGAATGTAGAAGTTGCAGAAGACGATGATGAGACTGGTGAAGAAAGCAAAGATAAAGATGATAAGGAGATCGAAGAAGTAGACAGACAGGTAGTTGCTAGGTATCTTTCTGCAGCAACTACTGTAGGAAATAATTGCCCTTCCAAACGGGCTCATACAAATATTGACAAGAGTCTCTTTGAGTTTATGAAGAGATCTAGCGATCTGGAAAGGAAGAAAATAGAAAGAGTTGAGAGACAGTTAAAATTTGAGACCAAAATTCAAAGCAGGTGGTTAGAGATTGAAGAAAGACAGATTGTTGTAAAAGAAAAGAATGCAGAGATCTGCAAAAGAAAACTAGACCTTGATGAAAGGGAGATTGCCCTGGAACAAGACAAAATACAAATTGATAAATCCAGGACACAAATTCAACATGCCGAAATGCTCAAAGGCTTATGAATGTCAAAGAAAGATATTCTTAAAGAAATAAAAAATGTTTAACTAAAATACACTAATAAAGATTTTTTATATAAAAATAAAAAATAAAATTAAAAATATATTTATTAGAAAATAAATTGCTTTAACCTTTGTTTTTTTTTCTTTGCCCAATTCCACTGAATCATTTTTCTCTGAATCTTTAGGATTACAATTACTCTCAACAGTGTACTCAAAGTCATTATCGCCTTTGTGTACAAGCAGGTTGTGTAAAATACAGCAACCTCTTATCTAGTAGCACATTTTTCTTATATCTTTTTTAGTGTGGATCACTGTCTTGAGGCCTTTTAAAGATTGAAATCTTTCTTTTAGGATTCTAATGCAGTGTTCTACAGAAACACAGATATTGGAATGAACAGTATTGAAATCCACATTTTCTTGTGTCATGCCAGTTCTACATTGTTGCTTATATGATATGATTGTGTACAGAGAAAGTATGTATGCAGCAACAACAAGCAAGTATTTCTTATCAGAAAAGAAAAGTTCTGGTGTTTTGCATAAGGGACTGACAAGATACATTCATGAATTATAGAAACAGTCATTCCATCCAGAGTATATCATTCTAATGAGTTTTCTGTCATTGTATACAATCATTACAGAGAGACAGTAAAATGATTTTCTACTAAAGATGTCCTCTCCACACCATTTTGGCTTATATTAAAGCTTTATAAGAGTCCCATCAACAAATCTAAAACAAGAAGGGAAACTGGATTGAGCTCTTATTCTTTGACTTATTTTGTTTCTTTTATTCTGCTCAGACCAGAATAATGTTTGCTTTGCTAATGAGAGGAGAATAGTAATAAATCTGTTATTGTACTTAATAACAGATCCCTCTAATTAACCTGTTGGTTATAAGTATTATATTAAATTAGAAATCAGAAATAGCAATAGCAATTACAATTATAATCACAATCATATAATACATGCCACTTACACCAATTGTCTGTGCAATACTACCAGCAGTAACACCAGTTCCATATATTTCCAAGCACTTAAGAGCAACCATCATTTGAATACTTATGTCTACTTGTTGTCTTTCTGCTGTATTGTTGAAAACAGGATTCATTTCGATCATGTTACAAATAGCAAAGAAAGAGTCCTTATTTATTCTAAACTCTTGTCTAAATCTATTGTTATCAAGATCATTCAAAAACCATCTAATTCTACTGAGTGGCTGAGAGACTATAGATCACTCTCTTAGATATCTCTTTCTAGATAACGCGAGGTATACAAGGATTTCTGATATATCAACAGTAACATTTAATACATTATTCTCACTGTGAATTTGGGATTCGATTAGTTTATAAAGAATCAATTTTTAAGCAACTTAAGAAAAGCTTTTCTATAGCTTATGTTGAGTATTTTTTTATAAAAATTGATATATAAAGTAGAATAATATAAAAGAGGCAAAGACATTAACAATTTTTTGTTTAAAGTATTTCAAGATGTCAAAATGAGTGATCCTAAATTTCAATCCTAAAGCTTTTTCCTTTGAATTAAATTTATACATTTTAATTCTATTCAGATTCTTCTCAACCAATCATTTTACCATTTAAACACCTGCTTTCCGAATCCTAATTCTAAGAGATAATGAAACCCCCCTATTATTGGGCCAGAGAATTTTTCTTTCTATAATTTCATGAGTTGAATATTTTTTCTTTCAAAAAAAAGAGAAAAGAAGGTTTGGTTCTACTTCAAACTTTTTTGATCACAACAAAAAGATGTTCAAGTAAAACAAAACATTGAATAAGGAAATGTAAAGGTTGTATTGAGTAATGAAAAAAATAATTCTGTTAAAATTTTGCAAAGGCAACAATTTTCAGCATATAAAACAACTTTGTCAAAATTTTAAATAAGAAAAAATATATATTTTTCTTTACATGATATTAGTAAAGAATGCCTAGCAAATACAACCTTCTAAGGCATAACTCAACTCAATGAAGAAATAAGTATATACAAATGTTTTTTTTAATAAGTTACAGCTGTATTTTTAATTATTTACTATTAGAATATATCTTTTTAACTTATAAAAATAAGGCAAACACTATGAGAAAAAAAAGGTGGTTAGACTGGTGGTTTGACTGATGGTTTGACGGGTAGTTTTTTTGCAAGTTCTCCATTCAAACCACTATTGAGTTTAAACAAAAATAAATGACCTTCCACATTCTGTTCTTTAATAGGGGGTTTCATTATCTTTTAGAATTCTAGTTCGGGTTAGGATTTGGAAAGCGGATATTAAATCTGTAGCCAATGAAAATGATTATAAAGTGAAAATTATTGAGTCCCCTTTTTTAATTAATTGTTTTATTCTTGAACCTAATATTTTATTCTAAACAATTAAGTTAATTTCTATCGCTTATATTGGAAACTTAGCTTATAAAAAGTTGATATATAAAGTAGAAATATGTAAGAGAGGCAAATAAATTGAGAAACTTTTGCTCTAAGTATTTCAAGACATCAAAATGAGCAATTCTAAATTTCAAACTGAAAGCCTTTGGATTAAATCTACACATTTTAATTCTATTCAGATTCTTCTCAGCCAATCATTTCATTATTTAAACACCTGCTTTCCAAATCCTAACCTTAATATGAATCCTAAGAAATAATGAAACCCTCTAATATGTTGTTTGTATAATATAGCAATATTCCTTTCTTAGTATTGACTTTTCTATTAGATGTGATTTCTTTTATTTATTGTATAAAGCTTATATGTTATTAGATACTTTTATTTGGTACTCTCTTATATGACAGTTATTGTTTTAAAATATAGATTAAATAGACATTTTATTGGACATAATTTATCTTTGTTATTATTGCTCTAAAGAAAATAGCTGTCTATTGGGTTATATTTATAAGAATTATTGTTTGATTTAAAAATTATACTTTTATTGTGTATTATTAAAGAAAAAAAGCTTTTATTGTTCATTTTATTGGATGTTAATATAATAAAAAGCTTTTATTGTTCATTTTATTGAGTATTATTATAGAAAAAGACTTTTATTGTTCATTTTATTGGGTATTATTATAGAAAAAAGTTTTTATTGTTCGTTTTATTGGTTATTATTTAATAATAGAAAATCAACATTTGAATTTTATTAGCTATAAACTATACTATATTCTAAGTTATTATAGTGAAGTATCTCATTTGACTTTATTATATTTGATTACTTACAAGACTACAATCTTCTATAACAGTCTCTTCAGAGATAAGAGATTCTCAAGATATATGCCTAACTTTCATGGCATCTGGTGAGGTTGATACTAACATTCTTCATCAACATTGTGTGTTTAGCACATATTTGTTTTCTAATTATTACTGATATAGACCTCCAGCTAGGACAAGAACCAAGATCCTTCACCAAAGGATGGACAGCCAGCTCATCACAAATGATCTTTGTAAATACTTGGAGAGTGGCCTTCTCTTCATTTTTTACCTTAATATCAAGATCTTCACTTATCATTTTGAATACATGCTTCAAAGTTATATCTCAGGTATTCGGAATAGGTGCACAAATAAGACTGTTGCAAGACTATTAGATTATATGTTAATATATATTCATTTTATTTTATTTTTGACTTAAAATGTCAGTGGTGGAAGGTACTGTCTCTTGTTCAGAAAACCCTCTGTTGTCTAGTTGACTGAAGGTAATCAATCTTCGAATTCAATTCTTCTTTGATAGAATTTAATTCCAGTTTGATAGTGTTCTGTCCTGCCTTCAAAGAGATTATCTCACTGTGCATAGCTTATAGTAAAGATATGATCTGGCTTTCTGTGTTATTCATGTTAAGAGTTTAGTTCATATAAGCAAAAAGATTGTTGTGAAAGGAGAATAAAGAGTGAAAAAAATTTCTATCATCTATTATTAGTTTCATATTAATTAGTTTAACTTTTTCATCTCAGTCAATATTAATTTTGACTTACCATAATTATATTGACAGCTAATACGCAATGTTTCAGATTCTGTTTCTGAGTTTACACTCATATTATCTATGTCATTATTATCTTGAAGCTATTATGTCTACACAAAACTCAAACTTATTAATTATAAAGACATATCATTTAAAAGCAATTACTGATACATATACCTTTACTTCAAAATGTTATTTTCAATCTTTAAAAATGTTATTAATTACAAAGCATAGTAGTTACAAGTGCAGATTCTGCAATACATTTTACAATAGCACAAGAAAAGTCAATTTATGCAGAATTCAGTATATGAAAACCTATTCTTTAAACATAGTTAATTTTGAGATTTCCCAACTCATTTCTGTCCCTGAGCAAATCAATATTGTATCAAGTATTGTATTTGGATACATCTCTGCATAAGTATATGAAAGACATACGCACTGTTAGAACAAGTAATTAATTATATTATTATCTTTATGAACGAGCAGAGAAAACACAGTCACAATTGATAACCAAACTGTGGATGCCTTCAATAATGGTGATAATGATAATGATAATGATCAGCTCATGGTAAGATATATATATATATCTATGTATCTATGTCTAAAACACTAATTACTATTTACCTTAATAAAGTATGATATCAATCTTGATTATATCATGGATGACATCCACGTCAAAACCTCTCCTCTGATATTTGATTCCAGTCAACCCACTCCGGTTCCTAACAATGACGATGCAAAAAATCTTGAGTTTATTAAGATAATCAAGAATTTTGGAATTTCATGTGAAGCACATGAAATGATTGCTTGTCATTTCAATAAGATTCTAGAGACATCTACTGACATAACATACAGAGCATGCTTTTCATACCTTGGAGATAAACTTCTTGAGAGATTTTCTTTTGTAAAAGGAGATAAGTATGACATTTGCCATAATGATTGTAAACTTTACAATGGCAGTCATGAGACAGTGTGTTCTAATTGTGGTGAGGCACGTTATAAAAACAATGCCAAAGACAAAGACGGATTGATAATCTCTGTCAAAACAATGATTCAGATCTCTTTGACTAGACAGCTTGCTCTCTGTTTGGCTGACAACACTATAAGAAACGAGATGATATATTGTCATAACCATCAATCCAGTCAAAATGGAAACAAATCTGATGTCTTTGATGGCCAAGCTTATCAATCAATCAAGCATCTTTTTTCTGACGAGAATTATATTGCCATTTTGTTGTCAGTTGATGACTTTCACTGCAAAAACCATTGGGAATTATTATAATAATAGGTTTTGATTATCGGGATATTTTGTCACATAAAAATGAATTACTCGTAAATATTAAGGAAATCATAGTTGACAAGTTATTGAATAAAGTGTCAAAAATAATTGAATATTATCTTATTCCAAAAATAAAAACCGGGAGTTTAGGTATAATGTCTGTGTATCAACTGTTCTCGGGGATCAATTATATAGACTATTCTAAATGCAGAACAATGTATTATCTACCGCTGATTACACCTGTAATTTGATGTAGGCCTTGTTTTTGTAATAACAGGCGTAATAACAGGGCACTTCTTTAATGTTTATTGGCTAAATGAATCGAAGAAAAAATTCTCATAGGTGCAAATGCTAAGCACGAGTTACTCAATTGGATATTGTTTTGTTTTGAAAAATGGTTTTTTATTTGTTTTTATTTTGGATAAAAAAAGCCTTTTTTTTTGGCAATAATAAGAATTCTATATAGTATTACTATTAAATACACTAATCTGTTATATTGTACTTCTTATAAATTTTGTTTCAGAATTTTTTGAATTAATAAACTCGGATAGTGAGTATATATGCTTACTGAAGCTATTTGATTAAAGGGAGTAGAAAGATACTTACATACTGTTAGAATAATTTGTTAATAATGGAATAAAACACAGATTTATATTATCAAAAGCTACGAGCCAATGCGTCATTCAAGTATATATTACAAAGAAAGGAATATAAAACATATACATACATATTTACTAAAGGAACATGTCTTGTCCTTGAGTACCGGTCATATAAGAATGTGAAGAACCATTTCAACTATAAAAAAGGAGAGTGAGAATGCTGATATAAAAAAACAAAACAAAATAAAAACAACACAATAATAAAATGAATAACACGTACCCTTATATTCTTTAAATGATTTGTTTTTACTGACCATATGTAAATCAAGGGTGAGCTATATTTAAAGTAGATGTTAGATATTGTTTTTAATACTGGGAAGAAGATGTTAATATAGATATATACGTACATGCCACCAATATGTTTTTGTGTTTTTTTTGTCTGCACCGGTTATATCAGAGAAATATATGTAATGGCTATTTAAAGTAATTTATAGTTAGTAAAATAATGATATATTTAATAGTAAAGTACCTCTTGTATAATGAAAGACACCTGCATCATATGTATATATTAAGGGTGCCTAAAGTGAAACATAGTAGGATTAAAAGAGTGTTATTTTTATTAATATTATTAAAGAGTAGAGAAAAACAGAAAAAGGTGGGAAAATAAAAAACAGTGTTTGAAAAAGCTGTAGACCCTGAAAAAGTTATTAGACTGTTTCTCTTACTTTGAAAAAAAAATTGTCTACTAATTATAGCTTTATATGTTTCATAAAACAATTGTTACTTACTATATATCTAAAGAAGTTGTTTTCTAGCTCAATTTTTTTCAAAATAATATATTTCGATCTCCTCGATCATTTAAATAAAGAAGTATTTACACACTCATACACTTGCTCAACTTGCTCGCTTAATCATTAACATAATTGTTTAATCACTCAATCACTCTACAATTCTTTACGTGTAAAGTACTCTCTTAAAAATTTATTAAAATAGAAATATCAAGCAATATATATCAGAAACTTATTATTTTATTATATAAAAATACAGATAATGGCTCCAAGAACTAACATCAACCAGAACGCACGTACCAATGGATCAACATCTAGGCCATTGATCAACGCAGTCAACACTGGGCGTATAGAATCGTCAAATCCAATGATTGCTCCTAGACCAGAAAATATATCAATTCCAGTGTCAGAGTTTAATGATGTAGTCAGTCTTCTCGCTACACTCAATGACAAAATGACAGCCGTTAGTTCCAATGTTAGTGAATTGAAAGGTAATTAAACACAAACTATATTGTTTTCCAATAGACTGACTATTTGAACAGTACAATGCCAGGTGGGTGCTCAATCGACTGGCATGCAAGCCGTTCTGGATTCTGATATGGATCCTCAGGACATCATAAGCAGCTCAAGACACCCAAAGATCTCAGTAAGCTCAAATACTAAAATTATAAAAACAATCTCCCTTTAAACCAAAAATCAATATACCTTTAATAGAGTATTATTCGGGGGCGGTTAAGAGATATTAATCTGAAGACAGATGATTTGGAGTTGATCAGAGAGAATGATGATAAACCAACTTGGGATGTCAATATTGGTTTGTCTGACGAGTTTAACAAGAATCTTGCAAGTGATTTGATGCTTTACATTCGTTGTCAACCTGTAGCAGCCATGGTACCACCAAAAGAGCTATGTGGTATAATTGTAAACAGCTATTACAATCGCTTGGCTGCTAGTAAGCTTACTGAAGAAGACAGACAGACAAACACTACCTCAAACAGAAGAGGAAATAGAAAGACTGCTGTAAGCATTTCTATTTATAATAATTCAATTTTGACAAGTATACTTAAAATATTATATATATCGTAGCTTAATAAAAGGAGAAAAAGAACGTACACAAAGCATAAGGATGCCGTCACTGAAAAGTTTAATTGGGATTATAATGGCGTTTTTTACAGAGATGCAATGTCTGGTGATGAGACAGAAACCGATACTTCTGTTGTTGCATCTCGTCCTGATTGGCGTAGTGATGAGATAATGTTTTATATAAAATGGTTTTTCTGTTGTTTGATTCCTGATGTATATATACATTTATAGTTGAATACCGTGTTTGACTTTCTTGATGAGCTTGCCAGAGATGACTTGGGAAAAAGAGCAACACAGTTGAAGTCGCGGAGTCATGTGTTAGTACACGAGACAATTCCTCATGGTTCGGTCACAAAAATGCCTACATGGTCAAAACGCGTATAATAAATTTCTGT